ACAATCTAAAATTCTTTAACATTTTCGTCTTTTGATTATTTAAAATTTACTTCAAACTTCCAACTTTCAAACGCTTGAGATTTTTAGAAATTTAGAATTTTGATTTAAAAACTCAACTTTTAAATAAACAAAACACGTTTGTACATTTGTGTTTTTAAAAGTTTACTTCAAATATCCAAAATATCAAATTTCATAACTGGTTTAAATTTTGTATATTTAAAGTAAAATTCTAAAAACTCAAAGTGTAAAGTTATTAGAAATTAGAACATTTGAATCAAAATTCCAAATTTGTGAAAATTTAAAAGGTTTCAAAGTTGGATTTTAGAAGTTTGAAACCAATATCAAATAACCAAAAGACAAAAAATATTACCGAACTTTAAATTGTTAAGTGTAAACTTTCTGAACAAACGGTAGACTAAAACCTCAAACGTTTAAATTTCAAAAAACCGTTTTCGGAAGTTTGAATTTTGAACATTTAAAGTAAAAATCTAAAATATTAAAATTCTAAAACCATTTGGAAATTTGAACATTTAGATTTTTAAAGTAAAATGTTAATTTTCAATGTAACAAACCAGTTTGAGTTTTTGAAAGTTAGATATTTGAACTAATATATTAACATTCTAAAACTCTAAATCGTTTTAGAAATTTGAATTGTTAAGTGTTACACGGACCTTTTACACATGGGGAATGAAAATCACTTAGTTCTAAGCATAAATTCATAATAAGCATGTCTGCTATAAGCATATTTTTTGGTTTAAAGTCTATAAATAATTGCATTGTCCCGCCACACAATTCACTGTCTGATTTCTTACACATCTCCAGGAGGACAGTGACGTACGAGGATTTACTAACCCTCACTACGACGTCCAACATTCTGACAACATGGCCGACACGCCAGGAGGGAAAACGGATACCCAATCAGAAGACAGCGCTACAGCTTAATGTCACAACAAGGACAGGGATTCTCTGATACTGTGTACATCTGTGATATTATTATACAACTATTCCTGGGACTTCATAGATCTACTATTGCCTAAAAGTTCGATACATGAGAGTGGATATAAAACTTTCAAGCAATAATTGCTACATGTATATGTTTGCCCTATCATTGTGATAATTTTTGAAAGGGAACCAAAATGCAAGACTTCTTGAGACATGTTGATATGTTTTTAGCTCACCTGAGCCGAAGGCTCAAGTGAGCTTTTCTGATCAAAATTTGTCCGTTGTCTGTCGTTGTCGTTGTTGTCGTTGTCGTCATCGTAAACTTTTCACATTTTCATCTTCTTCTCAAGAACCACTGGGCCAATTTCAACCAAACTTGGCACAAAGTATCCTTGGGTGAAGGGGATTCAAGTTTGTTCAAATGAAGGGCCACGCCCTTTTCCAAGGGGAGATAATCATGAATTTATTAAAAATTAATGGCATTTTAAAAAAATCTTCTCCAGAACCGCTGGGCCAGGAAAGATCAAACTCATGTGGAAGCATCCTCAGGTAGTGTAGATTCAAGTTTGTTCAAATCATGACCCCCGGGGCAAGGGTGGGGCCAAAATGGCCGACCCAAGTTTTACAAAGGAATATATAGTAAAAATCTTTAAAAATCTTCTTCTCCAGAACCACTGGGCCAGGAAAGATGAAACTCATGTGGAATCATCCTCAGGTAGTGTAAATTCAAGTTTGTTCAAATCATGACCCCCGGGGCAAGGGTGGGGCCAAAATGGCTGACCCTAGTTTTACATAGGAATTTATAGGGAAAATCTTTAAAAAATCTTCTTTTCCAGAACCACTGAGCCAGGAAAGATGAAACTCATGTGGAATCATCCTCATATAGTGTAGATTCAAGTTTGTTCAAATCATGACCCCCAGGGCAAGGGTTGGGCCAAAATGGCCGACCCAAGTTTTACATTGAATATATAGGAAAAATCTTTAAAAAATCTTCTTCTCAAGAACCACTGGGCCAGGAAAGATGAAACTCATGTGGAATCATCCTCATATAGTGTAAATTCAAGTTTGTTCAAATCATGACCCCTGGGGCAAGGCTGGGGCCAAAATGGCCGACCCAAGTTTTACATAGGAATATATAGGAAAAATCTTTAAAAATTTTTTTCTTAAGAACCACTGTGCCAGGAAAGATCAAACTCATGTGGAATCATCCTCAGGTAGTGTAGATTCAATTTTATTCAAATCATGACCCCTGGGGCAAGGGTGGGGCCAAAATGGCCGACCCAAGTTTAACATAGGAATACATAAGAAAAATCTTTAAAAATCTTCTTCTCCAGAACCACTGAGCCAGGAAATATGAAACTCATGTGGAATCATCCCCAGGTAGTGTAGATTCAAGTATGCTCAAATCATGACCCCTGGGGCAAGGGTGGGGCCAAAATGGCTGACTTAAGTTTTACATAGGGATATATAGAGAAACCTTTTAAAATCTTCTTTTCAAGTACTTCAAAGCTAAGATTAGTGATATTTATATGGAATCATCCTCAGGTAGTGTAGATTCTAGTTTGTTCAAATGATGAACCCCTGGAGGGGGGGGGGGTTAAATTCAAGCCCGATGTGCTCAGGTGAGCGCTGTGGCCCCTGGGCCTCTTGTTTTATGTGCCATTACATGGTGAAATGCAACTTTTTGTATACTACTGCATTATGTGTATTACTTTGTTACATGTTGATATTGTAAAATAAATACTTTATCAGTGACCATCTATGAATCTGACACAAAAAATCAATTCTTTCAAAAAATTTTCATTACACAGGAAAACTTGCACGCTGGTCTTGTGATACAGTGTATTAGGATTGACTAATTATACCTCCCGCAAACGAAGTTTGGGGGGGTATATAGGAATCACCTTGTCTGTCTGTCTGTCTGTCTGTCCGTCTGTCCGTCTGTCTGTGCATTCGTGTCCGGTCCATATCTTTCTTACAGAGGGACATTAGAATCTACTACTCCACACTAAGATTGTTCATGACCTTGACCCAAGGTCATTCGGGGAAGTTCAAGGTCACTTGAAGAAAAATTTCATAATTCGTGTCCGGTCAATATCTTTCTTATGGGTAAACATGGTAGGTTCTCATTTCACACAAAGATTGCCCATGACCCAAGGGTTTGTCATGACCTTGACCCAAGGTCATTTGGGAAAGTTCATGGTCACTGGAAGAAAATTTTCATAAATCATGTTTGATACATATCTTTTATAGATAAATTTGGTAGGTTCTCATTTCACACAAAGATTGCCCATGACCCAAGGGTGTGTCATGACCTTGACCCAAGGTCATTTGGGAAAGTTCAAGGTCACTGGAAGAAAATTTTTTATTTTCCCTGTCCGGTCCATATCTTTCTTATGGATAAACTTTGGTGGTTCTCATTTCATACAAAGATTGCCCATGACCCAAGGGTGTGTCATGACCTTGAACCGAGGTCATTTTGGGAAGTTGAAGGTCACTGGTAGAAAAATTTCATAATTTATGTCCGGGCCATATCTTTCTTATGGATAAACTTGGTAGGTTCTCATTTCACTGAAAGATTGCCCATGACCCAAGGGTGTGTCATGACCTTGACCCAAGGTTATTTGGGGAAGTTCAAGGTCACTGGAATAAAAATTTCATAAATCATGTTTTTGATACATATCTTTATTATGGAAAAACTTACTTCTGAAAAACCCAACGGGGGGTATTTTGTCCCGTTTGGACAGTTCTAGTTATAATTTATTGTCCAGGAATAAGAAGCCCTTGTTGGCTGGTTACACCTAATGTGGGTCCTATCCATTGGTCTGGCAGACTGAATATTCAGTAGTCAAATTTACTAGTAGTTTAATAATGGTAAGAAATATGTCAAATTTTGACTTAAAGGTGGTAATTGTTAACAGGATTAAGGTTAAGACCATAGTTTATGGTATTCTGAATATAGATGAGGTTATTTAAATCCCTGTAAAATCAACTTATTTATCAGTATCCTGTCTTAGTGTAAAGATTGGTGGTACTTCAAGCTCTTGAGTATCAATATTAATACTGGAGACATAAATACTGTAAGCAAGTGATCCTAGAATATTAAGTACTTCATAAATAAGGAAAGTTGATGCCGAAAAACTGAAATCATCTTGTTTGTCATAATGTCTAGTTGTTTAAACTGGTCATTATTATCGCTAATATAATCAGTAAAACATCTCAATAGTAAATAGATATGACAGACTCTGAAATTACTTCGCTACATGTATATCCGTAATTCGAATATAATCTGTAATAGGGTGAACCTGTTTTCTAGGGTTCATATATTATTTTTCTTAGCTTCCCAAGTAACTGTTATAATTATCAATTTACATATGTTCTATACTTTTCTATATTTTATTCAGACTTAGCAGGATTACCACAATGCTGATGTTTTAACTATAATTATGTCACTGTGTATATACAGTAGCCATTTTTTATGGCACAAAAAATTAAATGAAAAATTACATATACAGTATCAAATATATTTATATTGCATTTAACAGAAACTGTACTACACTAAGACTTGAAACAAACATGACACAAGTGTCATAATGTTTTATTCATGCAATGTACTTATAATATACACATTTCATATGGAATAAACATTTGCTGCTTATTTCATATACTGGATGACTTTCACTTCCCCTGAAACACACAACCCTACCCACACCCTCTCCTCACTGTCCACACTCAGTCCAATAGGATGGTCTAGTCCACAATTATCCACACATCTCAGGAACTGTCCATTCTGATCTAGGATGTGTAGACAGTTATTGAATTCATCAGCAACAATGATGTGACCCATGGAGTTTGTCACTATTTGTGCAGGACAGAATGATTTCTTTCCCCCTGGAGGTTTGTTGTTGTATCTGAATCTGACTTTTCCTGTCCTGTCCACCACTACCACTGCTCTAGCATTAAGATCAGAGGCCACTATGTCTCCATTGTTGTTCTCCACCACATACACTCCATATTTTCCTCCTTGATAGATTGGATCCCCGTGTTCATCTTTATCTATTTCCTGTGTCACTCTCTGTCCCTGATAACGGACTATTTTATAATGACTATTATCAGTAGTACACATACTAACTAGGATGTCCCCTGACCTGGTACAGCACAGTCCTGATGGATGCCAGCCCCTTGGTGTGATTTTCAGTGTCTCTACCTTCCCATCTCTGACAATGTTCACAGTTCTATTGATATAATCACTGTATATCAGTTCTCCCTGTCTGGTCACTGTAATGTCACTAGGGAAGTCCTTACATGTACTGGTGACAGTGTCTTGTACAGCTCCATGTATGTCCACACAGGTTATCATTTTGTCTATTCCATTAACCCAAGCTTTATCTGATCCTACACAGGCCACTTTAAGTAAGTTTTTAACATTTGTTGGAATGTTTGCAATCACTTTGGCTTCTAATAATTCCTTAACAGATAAAAAGGAGACTTCATCTGTCAGACTGGATAGTGATGTCTGTGTCAGTGTAGCCTTGTATTCTCCTAATTCTATGCTGAGTTCTCTCCCTTGGACTGTGTTTGTTTGAAGAGAGGGCAATGGTAAATCAGGTATTTGTGGAATGTTTCTGTATTCCTTCAGTTTAGATTGGTAGTTGTTTATATCAGATACTTTGTTGGACATCAGGATTTCTTTGTTTTCTTGAATAGTTTGGATCATACTGGAATTCTGACTTCCGAGTTTGGCCTGGCATGATTTCAAAGTGGTTATATGATGATCTCTGAGTGACTGGATCAGGGATTCCATTTTGTTAAATATGTTGTCCACCTCTAGGTGCCATTGATTTCTTTGATCATTTGTCTGTTTCTGTAAATCTGCATAATGGGCCATGAATTTGGAAATTTTATTTTCAATGCCTTTGTCTTGTGTCCAGTTCTTTGACAAAACGCTATCAATTTCTTCAGTTTCTCTTTTGATATTTTCTCTCTTTGTAGCGATGATGTCTGCCATGTCAACAATATCATGTGTCTTATGTTTAGAACTAGTGATACATTTGATGCAGACCGGGACATCACACTGTTGACAGTGGGCCTCACATCTCTGGTGGGAATGAGATGTACACTGAGGGAACACAAGCTGTACTGTACGCTTTGTGAAAGGAACAATGTCATGCTTCATGGACTTGAGGCTCTTGACATGTTTGTTGATGCAGTCTTCACACAGACCGACTTGGCAGCTGTTACAGAATTGCTGGACAGGTTTGACACAAAGGTCACAGGTTATGAGTTCCTGTGCCTGGCTGGTGGCAGTGGCCATTCCTACAGTGTAGCCAAATCTGCAAACAAAACGTATTTACAGTGGGTTTTTTTAAATATTGTGTATAAACTACGTAGGATAAAGAAGATTCTTTTTCTCCTTCCCTTCACTCAATTATTGTCTTTTTCTAAAAAAAAAAAAAAAAAAAAAAAAAAGATTTCCTGTTTATTTTTTGTAGTAAAGTCAGCCAGTTATGACAGATGTAAATGATGTTAATTTATTGAAATTCTACATGCATAATTTGAATTATTATGTTATATGCAGAAGCAGTTAATCCAACATAAATATGACAGGATTTTAAACAAATAAGGATTATGAAAAAATCTCAAAAACACAAATATCGCCCATATGTGACATCTAACATGCTAAATGCTACTTATTTATGTTAACATGCAAGATAAATATGTTGACATGCAACTTATTTATGTCGACATGCAACTTATTTATGACGACATGCAACTTATATATGTTAACATGCAACTTATCTATGTCGACATGCAACTTATTTATGTCGACATGCAACTCGGTTATGTTGACATGCTAGATAAATATGTTGATATGCAACTTATAAGTTGCATGTCAGCATAAATATGTCGCATGTTTAGATAAATAAGTTGCATGTCAACATATTAAACTTGCATTTCAACATAACAAAGTTGCATGCCAACATAAATATGTCACATGTTTACATAAATAAGTTGCATGTCGACATAAATAAGTTGCATGTTAACATATATAAGTTGCATGTTGACATAAATAAATTGCATGTCAACATAAATAAGTTGCATGTCAACATAAATAAGTTGCATGTCGACATAAATAAGTTGCATGTTAACATTAATAAGTAGCATTTAGCATGTTGGATGTCACATGATGACGATATTTGAAATTTTTGAAGATTTTTTTATAATACTTATTTGATTGCAATTTTCTTGCATGTCAACATATTTATGTTGCATGTTGACATAACTATCTTGCATGTCAACATATTTATCTTGCATGTCGACATATTTGATAGAAAAATAACTTGCACACAAGGGACAGAAATATGCCACCATATATGACTGATGTAAATGATGTTAATTTATTGAAATTCTACATCGACATAATTTGAATTATTCTGTTATATGCAGAAGCAGCTAATCCAGACAAATATGAAGGATTTTATTCATTAACATTCATAAACTCTCAAAACACAGTTTTTTTAGCTTCAGATCGCAGTGAACACATTAAAAGTTTCACAATATCAGGAGACTTGAGTCGTACAATATAAACCAACAAAATCAACTCTTAATTTTCTTCATTTTTCATTGATTAATCAAATGTATTTCTTTGATTTGAAAAACTTATTTGATTTTTTTTTTTAATTTCTAGATTCTTAATATTGCTAAATGTTGATAACGTTCAGCCTTAAGGTACAGAAACGTATTAAAAGTCTGGAGAAATATAGTTTCACCCAATGAAAAAAATGCTTACCATTTGATGCCAATTTTTTTTAAGTATGGTTTTTCTAAAAATAAAAAAAAAATACACGAAAGCAACATCAACCATACATGTGATATGTACCGGCGGTACACAGAATGTCACAAATTTTTTACCCCATTCATGGGCTCACGGCAACACAAAAATTCACGGGAAATGAAAATTTGTACTGATTTTGGACTTTTGAAATCGACATTTTTCTCTCATTTCCATCCTGGTAAAACCGAAAATTGTGACTATAACTCTGCTTGGGTATGAAATGTGAAATCGAAGCCCTGACTTTTTTTTCTTTGCTATGGCATAAGTATTGTCAATTCAAACACAGAGTAAGAGAAATGATTTTAGTATCATTAAATAAATGCAGATGACTGGAGCGACCAGACTTTTGCATTCAACACTGTACTATGGAAGTCTTTTTTCTAAGTTCAGCACTAAGCACATGGATTGTTGAAATTTTTAATGCTGCAATAGTTTCTTGAAATTAGTAATCGTATACAGAGGCGTAGTCACAAAAACTCAAAAATCCTATTTGGATGGAGGAGGGGGGGGGGGGGGTTAGCGGCCAACTTCCAATTTTTTCCCACAATTCTTCGATGAAGGATATGGAAATAACGAACAGTATTCAATCTCAACGTCCACCAAACAAATATACAAAATAAGAGCAGAGCAAACTCGGACCCTCGAAACATCAGAGGTGGGATCAGGTGCCATGGAGGAGTGAGCATCCCCTGCCGACCGGTCACACCCGCCGTGTGCTCGTTGTCATAATCAGGAAATAGCGGAAATAAATCCGTGGTCAATTCAGCGTATAAATAATGGACTAACAATTGTTATGAAAAACGTCAGTCAGCATTTCATTCAATGTTAAATTGTATTTGCTGACAAGGTCATTGTATCGACCATAGAATTTACGAAATGATGACTTTAAACGAGACTGTTGATATTTTTGTTTCATCAACTTGCTTGTCAATAATTTACCTCGTTTAAGAAATTGTTCATACGTAGAGCATGCTCTTGCGTATCGAATCAACTGAGATATAAATACTCCGTATGCAGGTGATGAAGGTATATTGCTGCATAAGTAAGGGAAGTTGACGATAGAAAAGTTAAAATCATCACGTTTATCATAAAGCTTGGTTGTTAGATTGCCATTAGTGTCTTTTTCAAGTAAAATATCCAAGTATGAAGCAGAAGTGTCGGACTCTGTGGTATCTTTTATCTCAAGCTCACCAGGATATATCGTGTCGACGTAGGAATGGAAATTATCATTATAAATTGATAATACGTCGTCGATATATCTAAATGTCGAGTTGAAGGCCACAGCAAGTGTTTTCTTTTTTTCACGTAACAGATTTTGCATAAATTCTGCTTCATATGAATATAAAAATAAGTCTGCTAATAACGGAGCGCAATTTGTACCCATGGGAATTCCAATAGATTGTTGGATTACCTGGTCTCCAAAAACCACATAGATATTGTCAATCAGAAACTCAAGCATCTTCTTGATGTTAACTTCAGAGTACTTATATGTGCAATCAGAATCTGTTTTAACTATACGGGGGTCAAAAAGTGGGGGGGATTCCTTCAATGAACATTTCCTATAGTAAAGATAATGTTGGGGAAAAAAATAGTTGTGATTTTGTTCTTCATTAAAAAGTGGTGGGGGGGGGGACAGAAATACTCTTGCCCCCCCTCCCCCGATCTGAAAGTGGGGGGGGCGGGCTGGTGCCCCCGCTGCCCCCCGCCCCAGTGACTACGCCTATGGTATATATAAGACTGCATGCAGTGGCTAAAATGCACATTGATTTGAAATTTATTAATAAAAAATTAACTTCTCAGTTGATTTTTCGGCGGAAAGCAGTTAGTTTGGCGTCAAGGGACCTGGGTCCGACAAAACACATTTCGCCTGAGAAATCGGCCAATAAATGTTTTGTTATTCCTTTCATTTTATTTTGTTTTTTGACATACATTTATTTTGTACTGTCTTCCGTGGTGAATCATCGGGTCCGTCACTGTTGAACACCAATAAATGAAAATGAGATTAAGCCTCACCCATTCTATGATGTAAGCGGTCAACATCTCACTAACCGGTCAGACATTTCACTCAGCGGTCCAACATAGATTTTTTTCATGCCCGCTCAGCAAAACATAATTGAAATTTTTTTTCGTATAGACTTGTATAGCAGCAATTTTTTTTAAAGGTATAACAATCTGCAGTATTTTCACCCAAATTCCAGTATTTTTAAGGCGCTTGTACAATATTTTGTCTAAAAATTATCATATGTATGCAGTGGCAGATTTAAGGGGGGCGCACCCAGCGCACGCCCCCCCCCCCCCTAAAATTGTCAAAGTTAGCGTAAATCAAATATGTATACTTGGAAGACCTCATTTTCACCGTTCAAAGTCTCTAGAATCCAGGAGCTTCCGGGGGCTTCGCCCCCTGGGCCCCCACCAGGGCTTTGGTAAACCTCATTTTAACCATCCAAATCTCTAGAATCCAGGAGCTTCCGGGGGCTTCGCCCCCTGGGCCCCCACCAGGGCTTTGGTAAACCTCATTTTAACCATCCAAATCTCTAGAATCCAGGAGCTTCCGGGGGCCTCGCCCCCTGTGCCCCCACCAGGGCTTTGGTAAACCTCATTTTAACCATCCAAATCTCTAGAATCCAGGAGCTTCCGGGGGCCTCGCCCCCCTGGGCCCCAACCAGGGCTTTGCCCTGGACCCACTGGGAGCCTCAAGGCGGCCCCCAGACCCCTTGCCTATCGGCGCCCCTACTAACTCCAAATCCTGAATCCGCACCTGGTATGATCAACGTAATACAAAAATTTCCGTCAGTTCTACATTACAAGTGGAGAATTCAGAACACTTAAGCTGTTTTTGTTAGTTATGTTTTTTATGCCAATAAATCTTACACCCTTGCTCACCGTTTCAACTTTATTCCATGAGCGGAGAGGATTGTATTAAGAGAGAAAGTAAATATATTAAACAATGAAAATACATGTATCTTTTTATGAATTGGTTATTCATACGTACATGGTCTGCAGATTACTTTTACATCTTCATGTTCTTCAAGACTTGTTTTAACTTCATTATGATACAACTTTCGGTTTGTTTTATTCTTCCTGGTAGCTTGTCACGTGACAAGTGTTTACCTGAGACGTTTGAAGTTGTTTAGTCGGCAGATTGAAAATGAGTCATAGTAGATAAGGATTGAATATATATAAACTGGGACATATAGAATACCTTCTTTACCAAGTGTAGAAATGACTATTGGGGAACATGGAGTCACAAAGAAGATCACATTTTTTACTTAGAAACATAAGAATTATACATGTAGGAAAAAGATTAGCTTATTTATGTTTTGAATGACCCTCGTATGTTAATTCATATGGATGTACAGTTAGTACTACACAGGTAGTGTAAATTCAAGTTCAAATCATGCATGACTCCTGGGGCTGGGGTTAGCCACCATGGGGGATCTTAGTATTACATCATTTGTACAGAACAAATGTTATAATTCTTCTGAAGAACAGGAAAGCCATGATTTGAAATGAGGAATCCTTTTGTAGTGTTGAGTTATAGGAATGTTTCGTAAAAATCTTTCCAAGAATAGCAAAGTCATGTTTTGTCATTTTGATATGAAAGCATCCACAGATTGTGTAGATTCTAGTTTGTTCAACACATGACCCCGGGTATGAGGAGGGGCCAAAATGGGATCAAATTTTTACAAAGGAAAATCTTTAAAATCTTGCCGTATATACAATAATTAAAGACTCCACTTACAGAAACAAACGATGAAACAATTCAATTCTCTTGAAAATCCTCTACTTGGCAGAATAACTAGCTCATTAATCTAAAGATTTCGGATTGACAATCCTAAAACTTGTCAATTACAATTTTGAAGATCTGTTAGCTACTGGGCTGCAGCCAATGGAAGTGGGAAAAAAACCCCAAAGCAGTGCTCAGGTAGACGGAATATTAGGTACTGAAATTTAGTAAACATAAGAAGGTCATCACCGGAGAATGTAAATATTCTAGAGAAAATCATCACAGAGGGTTCTTAAGACAGGGGGTCCCAGTCTTTATATAGCGAAATAACGTAAGGTAGGACCAAATAGATAGGTCAAATTTTTCCTGGAAAATTTGGGCAAAATATTAAGTAAAATAGAACATACATTGTGTCAGAAACTGAAAATTCACATGTAAATATCCGACAATTTAAGTTTTCTTTAGAGAAAATGTATCATTCAATTTTTACAAAAAATCAACAGAATGATTCAAATAGGTCCTAGACTGAAATGTGTGAAAATAAAGAAAATTGAACCGATGGTTTCAGACATTTTGGCGATTTAAAAAAAATTCAATGGCAAAAAACTTAAAGATTCAGTAGATGACGTTACAATATTTGACCTTTGACCTCTTGATATTGTATTCTGTATCCTTTAAATCTCCTTCCTTCTTTCATCTTTCAGAGCACTCCTATTCCCTACCTTTCTTATCTCTCTGCACCCTTTTCTTCCCTTTTTTTTGCATTGTAGATTTATTTGTTGTTCATCACGTGTATATAAATTTGTTTTTTGTTTGTGTTGGAGAGGACATTCTAAGTTGGAAAAACTTGTGTCTGATCCAATGGATTATATCAATAAAATGCTTAAATTTAAATTTAAACCTCTTGATATGACCTTGCACCTTTGTAGTACATAAAGAATAGAGACTCCTTATATATGTGTCCAAATGTCACTCCTGTATTATTTATGGAACAAAAGTTGCACTACATTTTATAACAGACTGTAACATGCTTGTTTATTGCACTTAGATAGCGTAAACACATTCTATTTAGCTCCCAAGTGACCAATATATAGGTTAATTCTCTGATTTTTTTTTTTTTTTTTACAAAATATAACGCAAATACTAGTATGCCAAAATTTATTATTTTTCTTTCATGAATCATTTATTGTTGTCAATATAATAATATTATTCTTTTTTCCTCCTGTACTTTTTAAGAAATGGGTTAAAATGGAATCCACGGGTGTTTTGTCTTACCTTAATATCTATTATGAACGTCATTTGCTTTATGTTCTCTGTTGAAGATTATGTCACCTACGTTAAATTATACGAAGGGGAAAAACATCACTCTCTCAAAATGGAGTACTTAGTAAGAGCACTAGAATTACTCAAGGAACTGTGATAGAAAGTTAAAATGTAATTTGCAAACTATTCATCTTTCTCTTTTCAAAAAAAAGAATTGCAAGACTACAGGAACAATATTTTATGATACCAACAGAATAGGCTCATAGCAAGATAGTCTTTGTTAATAAGCCTCATAATTATAACACTACTAATAAGATTTTAATTCTGTCTCTGGAAATCCAGTTTATACGCACCGTTTACGAAGATGATGCTCTTCAAAATCACATTTCAGTTCGTATTTAGTACTTTTAACATTTCAGTCAAAAAAGGTGGTCTAGATCTACTTTACCTGTACTGGATTTACACTTATAAACATTCTTATAGAGATGTATTATCAGGTTCAGCAAGTGCACTACTGAGCATCTATTTTTTTTTCTAAACCTAACAAAAAAAAAGTAACGGCTGTAAAGGAGAAACTTCAGACCTACTATGCTACACATATAATGTGGAAATTGAAAAAATAAGATGTGGATTGTCTAAAACTACTAAGAACTTTTTGAAAATTAAAAATCAATTTTAGATCTAAAAGTATGACTTTACTACATACTACAACGATTCCTCGTGATAAATTAAAAGCTTTAGATTTTCATATTATAGACGACTGCATCTTCAATAAAAATGGAACTAGATTGATTATTATTTGAACTCTTAGACTCTGCTCTGCAAGGGGTGCAGAAGGAAATGTCAAAGCTCTTTGAAATTGTGTTTGCATTTTAAAAGTGAGGAAACAGCGCAAAACGCCAAATTCAATTAAAAGACAGGGAAATAACACAGATAAGACAGAGGTAAGAATCTTGATAAAGATAACACAGAGGACCGAGGAGGTTTAAACAAACTCAGGGAAACCTAGGGACTGGCTTACAATCCATCAAGAATGGGGAAAGATCAAGGAAAAAGTAGAATAGTATAGTAGATAAAATAACAGCTTTCATAAATGACCCATAGAGATCCCCCCCTGGGCCCCCACCAGGGCTTTGCCCTGGACCCACTGGGGGCCTCAAGGCGGCCCCCAGACCCCTTGCCTATTTTGGCGCCCCCTTACTCCAAATCCTGGATCCGCGCCTGGACAGGCAAGTTGATGAAACAAGGATATCAGCAATCATTTCGTAAGTTCTATGGTCGATACAATGACCTTGTCAGCAAGTACAGTCTCTCATTGCTTCGAATACTGACACTGATTTTTTTTTTATACCAATAGTTAGACTATTAATTACACACAGAATTGTCTACGGATTTTCCCGTTAACTCAAACATAAAGGAAAGACAACTCGTGTGACCAATATACAGGAGATGCTCACTTACTCATATAGAATTTTATTTTTTTTTTTATCTTTTTAAATCTTTAATTAAATCTTTTAAAAATCTTTAAAATCTATTTCTCAAAAACAGATAATGAGGCGTGATATGGAGGCATCCTCCTGTAAACTTCTTGATACTGAACTGACTTTTGCTTTTCCTTAGCCAATAATCTCAGGTGAGCGATGTGGCTTTCGGCTTCTTGTTATTATTGTAATAATATATAACTTGTTTGGATGAAGACACAGCTGGATCAATATGTGAGTTATACCTGTAAACCTAGATATAATGACATAATATAAACACAGTCGCGTTTTCCCTATCACAACTGTGTCAATATTTATATGACATAATGGCTGATAATCACATCATTCGAATATTCCTGAACCGGGTAGGTACAAATGTTAATACATCACAGCTCGTGACAGGTATAAGAATAATGAATAAGAAACATTTCTACACATCTCTTTGGGATCGGAGTGGTGGGGAGGTTTGACTATGGAGGTTTATTTTTCCATCTCCCCCAGCTGTCACTCGTGTACAGGTGTAATGAGGCGTTTATAGCTGCTTATTCAACACGAAGCTGGATATACAATTAGACATCTCTATTTTTAACAAGTCTAAATTTCCTTATGTCAAACCCGAAAATGGGCAATAAATGTTGGTGAGTATAATAATTTTTTAAACTGATACTATTTCTGGTGTCTTCTAGCTATTCCCATTTTTTAAAAATCTCAATTCCACCTATTCCCGCTTGCAAATAACAATAGATGTTTTGATAAGTTAATTTGTAAAATGTTTATTCGGCTAATTATTTGTTTACACAAAAATTCCACCTACTCCCACATGAAATTTTACCTTTTACTACCTGATTTTCAAAAAGTGGGAATAGGTAGAATGAACCCTATTTCTGTACCTTACTCCTTCTTTAATTTGATCAAAAAAGTAAACGTCAAGACACTTTAATATACAGA